TGGGGTGGGCGGGAGGGGCCAGGCCTGGACTCCTGGGTCGAGAGGAGGGAGCTGGCAGGTCCCTGACGTTGCTGCGTCCTCACAGGTGTACGAGCAGCTCTACGACACGCTGGACATCACCGGCAGCGCCGAGATCCGGGCCCACGCCACGGCCAAGGTAGGCGCCCTCCACCCATCACTCACAGCATCCACGGACCTTCCTAATACCACTCATTCCTGGCTTCGCCTTCATGATTTTTGCCAAATCTCTGTACCACCCTTACTATTACTTATTCCGAATTTAAGTACTCTCTCATTTTATTTATTTTTTAAATGTATTTTTATTGATTTTTTACAGAGAGGAAGGGAGAGGGAGAGAGAGTTAGAAACATCGATATGAGAGAGAAACATCCATCAGCTGCCTCCTGCACACTCCCTACTGGGGACGTGCCCACAACCAAGGGACAGGCCCTTGACTGGAATCGAACCCGGGACCCTTCAGTCCTCAGGCCGGTGCTCTATCCACTGAGCCAAACCGGTGAGGGCAGTAATCTCTCATTTTAAACTTAAATGTCATGAAAGTCATCCTTATCTACTACACATTGAAACTGCTACCGAATGCCTGACTGGAAGATAACCTTAAACACCGATCCAATGAAAACAAGGAAATGTCAGGAAACACTGAAATCTGATTACATTATAGTTAGGTGCTGTTCTTGCTGCTTCCCGGAGGCTCGCGGCTTCTTCCAGGCCTTGTTTTTCTCTGTTAAAAAGTGAGACTGGCAAGTGCTGAGTCTTCAAGACACATTTGCACCAAATGGAGACTTCCTCTTTGACATGTCTGAACCATCAAAGAACCAACAGGGACATGCCGTCATGATGAAATCGTCTTTTGAGCGGTGGCCGGCACCTCGTGCTTGGGAAAAGCTCTCTGGCCTCAGTAGCTCTCCCTGGCCCAGATCCTCCACCCTCATCCACATGTCCACGATGGAGAGGCCCTCACCTCCCCATGCCTCCTCTCTCCCAGGCCACCGTTGCTGCCTTCACCGCCAGTGAGGGGCACGCACATCCCAGGGTAGTGGAGCTGCCCAAGACGGAGGAGGGCCTGGGCTTCAACATCATGGGGGGCAAGGAGCAGAACTCGCCCATCTATATCTCCCGTGTCATTCCCGGGGGTGTGGCTGACCGCCACGGAGGCCTCAAGCGTGGGGACCAGCTGCTGTCGGTAAACGGTGTGGTGAGTAGGAGGCTGGGGCGGCGCTCGGGTCAAAGTCTGTCCTTGTTTTTGACATTTCTTCAACACACACTGACGGAGCACTGCCCCTCTATCCAGCCAAGTGCAGGCACTGCTGCAGACCCTGAGAAAAATTGGCTTCAGCTTTTACCTTCAAGAACTCCCTCTCGGATGAGGAAGATAGACCCTGAGCGAAAGAGCCCCGATCAGGGAGATAATCATGAGGCAGCACAAAGCACTGTGACGTAGCACCAGACCAGGGTGGATGAAAGGAGTTTTTGCAGAGGAAGGAACATTTGAGTTGGGTTTTGAAGGATGAGTAGGAGTTCTCCAGGCAAGTAAGGTAGAGACGGTGTTACTGGCTGAGGTTGTGGTAGGTAGGGACTGTGACTGACGTTCCTGCGAGATAAAGAGAAAGAGCTTGGTTCGGATGGAGAGCTGGGCATGTGGGTAATTAAAATCGCTAGCTTTTCGAGTAGATGGGGGCATAACTAGTTGGGTGGTTGGGGCCAGCCTTGTTGGGCCTGTGTGCCAGCCTAGAAAGCTGGGACTTTTTCTCAAGGGTTCTGGGGAGCCATGGGAGGGCTGTGAGTAGGGGAGGGGAGCTCAGCTTGGAGGAGTAGAAAGACTCCTGTGTGACTCTGTGGGGAATGGGCTGAGGGGAGAGACTGGTGGCCAGAAGGTCAGGGAGGGGACTAGAATAAGAGTCCACTGTGGAGGGGACCAAGCCCCAGCTGTGGCCAGGGTGGTGGGGACAAAGGAGAGGGAGTCAGGGCAGGAGGCATGGGGCCGGTTAGCAGACCTGAGGGGATGGAGGGGATAACGATGGTCCTGGTTGTCAGGCTCGGTGCCTGAGGGCATATGGGGCTTGTCCCCGACATGAGGAACCTGGAAAATTTTGGGGGGAGGACACTGAGCCAAGAGTTACTGACTCTCCCATGAGGGGATGGGGTTTTGGCACCTCAGGGCTGGTCGCAGGTCACTAACAGTTGGACCTGTTTCCGGGCTGGGGGTTGGGTGAGAGGGGTGGGCCCCTGCCCAGCTGTCTGTGCACTTTCCTGCAGAGCGTGGAGGGCGAGCAGCATGAGAAGGCTGTGGAGCTGCTGAAGGCGGCCCAGGGCTCGGTGAAGCTGGTGGTGCGTTACACACCCCGCGTGCTGGAGGAGATGGAGGCCCGCTTTGAGAAGATGCGCTCTGCGCGCCGGCGCCAGCAGCACCAGAGCTACTCGTGAGCCCTTTGTCACCATTCCCCGGGGGTCTCCACGGCCTCCCTCATCCCCAGACTCCCAATGGTTCCTGGACCCTCGGTTGCCACCCCCCGGCCGTGGGTCCTCTCCTGGGATTCTGACCTTGACTCAGACTCTCGCCCCACGCCATTCTGGCTAAAACCCCGGGGGACTCCTGGCTGACTCCCATTCCAAGACCTGGACCTACCCTCCCTCCCTGGGATTCCTCCACCCACTTCCCTCAGCCCCGGTTCTGGAACCCCAGCCCTGGCGCTTGCCCATCCCCTCCCTGGGCCCCTTACCCTGAGCCTGGCTCCCTTCTCTTCACCCTCCTCGCAGGTCCTTGGAGTCCTGAGGCTGAGACCACAGACCTGGACCCTCCCGCTCTCCCTCCCCCTGTACAGTATTTATTGTCACCGGCTCCGTGTTTAAAGATCTTTGCCCCTCATTGCGTGTTTGTGTGTCTGTCCTGCATCCCGGGGCTGGAGGGTCTCCCTTGAGAGGTGGGGGAGGGAAAGAAGCTGATGTTGAGACCAGGCCCTGAAGAAGCCGGGGTACAGCATTCCCCCCAGGTCTGCAGGGGGCAGCTGGGCAGCTTCCTAAGGGCCACGTCCAAGGGTGGAGGCTGGGACCCAGGCTGCGAGCTCAGACCTGAAGACAACGCCCGCCCCTACTACCCTTCAGAGAGTCTGCGGGCGAAGGCCGAACCCCTTCGGTAGCTGGTCCGACCCACGAGTGCTGACACGCTGCGGGGAGCCAGTGGGTGTCCTGCGTGTGGGCGGGGCGGAGCGAACCATTAACCTTGTCCGCCG